AATGGAAACAAAGTCTTTGCAAATAGGGAAGGGTGGAGGGGGTGAAGGGAGGGCAGGGGAATGGGGAAAAAAATAAGAACCAAGATGCTCATGTAATGGTACAAGATCCCAATGATGAATGTAACTGTATTTTATACCTAAAAGGTACCAATAAACTAAATGGGGGGGGGGGGAAGAAATCATGTGGCAGGCCAATGCCACTGAGAAGAAATAAGTGCTTTTAAAATAAGGATAGTGGTGCACTTCTCTAGTTTTAGCTTTGTGAGGCTAAGGCAGGAAGATTCGAAGTTAAGAGCCCAGCCTGGGCAACTCAATGACTTAAGACTAGGTCAAATAAAAGAAAAAAGTAAACATGGGCCAGGGATGTAACTCAGAGCAAATCTGTTGGATTCAACCCCCAGTATAGCACACCCCCTACACTCCCCCACATACACAAACCACAAGCCTGTGCCCTTTCCTTAGTCATATGTAATGTGTTTTATATAACCATGTTAAAAAATGTTCCTGAACTGTTAAAGCAAGGGTTCTTCATTTACAACTAGAATACTTTTCAAATATAGTTAATATATTTTAGGAACATTGATATGTTTAAAAATATTGCCATTTTTAAAAATTGAAGTAAAATTCAAATAACAAAATTGTCCACTTTAATATGTGCGATTCAGTGGCATTCAATACATTTACAATCATTTTTAGATTGTTCATTGCTTCCATAAGTTTATGTAAATAGGACTGATTTATTTTTGTTTGCTTGCTTGTTTGTTTCTTTGAGACATGGTCTCCCTCTGTAGCCAAGGCTGCTTTATTCTCCTGCTTCGGCCTCCTGTGTGCAGTGATTGCAGTAATACTGTACCATGCCTAGCTCTACACCTGAGTTCCTTTTCTGTCTTGCACTGTTTGCCACATTCTGTGAGAGTTTTGTGAATTTTTAAGGATTGTCTGTATGAGATGATGGTATTGACAGAGATCATTTTCCTTCCTTCTAATTTGAATGCCTTCTCTGTTTCTTGCCTGATTATGTTGGCTAAAACTTCAATACAAACTTTAATACAACTGGCCAAAGAGGGCATTTTTCTCTTGTTCACAACCTTAGCGCAAAGCTTTTAGTCTTTTACTTGAGTAAACTACCAGCTGTATGCCTTTCATAAATACCCCTTGCCTTACTGAGAAAACGCCCTTGTAATTAGTTGATTGCTTTTAGTTGCTTTCCTGGAGACAGGAAGTGCTGGAGTCCCTTTTTCTGCCACTTTCATTGACATCATTTTTGTCACCTGTTTTGCTTATCTAGACGCACTCATGCTTCTTTACAACACACCTGTTACAACAGCATGTATGAAGACATAATGCGGGTTCACAGGTAAGGCCACCTCCAACAGACAAGGACTCTTCAACTGTAGTTCATCTCCCATCCTTTAACTGTTTTTAGTCCAGCCTATTTTATGCATAACTGTTGTACTTCTCTGGCTTTTCTTAAGGCTTTTAACAATAGGAGGTACCTGAGACCTTCAGCAAATCCACCTGGTGTTACTTATGCCACCTGGAATGGCCTGTCCTTGCTCTTCTCACACTGCAGCAACTAGGGATCCAGGCACCATTGCACAGTGATATCACTTGAAGGCCTGATTTTTATTTTATTTTATTTTTATATATTTTGGTGGTACTGGGGATTGAAGCCAGGAATTCGTCTACAGTGCTAGCTTAGCCTGCAAACTTCCAGTTTTGCAGTTGTCCTTGTTTTGACACAGAGTCTCCCTCGGTAATCTAGGCTGACCTTGAACTCACTAAGGCCTAGCCCATGCTGACAGTTCATGATTCTCCTGGCTCTGTGCTGAGTTTATAGGCGCATGCCACCACATCATCTCCAGCCTGCAAACTCTCGCTCCAAGAGCAGGAATAGGTGGCAGGTGCCCTCAAGAGCCAGCTTGTGAATGAGTGGGTCTCTGGGTCCAGTCCACACTGGGAGGAACCTAGGCCCCGCCCCATGTCTTCCAGTGATGGCGGCTCCCAGCAGCTGCTGGTCCACGCCAGACCGCTCACCACCCAGGTTCTACACCAAGGTAGCATCAGTGTCCAGGTCGTTCTTGGGGCCTTCAGGGAAGGCAAGAACGTCCATCCCGGGTCCAAGCCTTCTCCAACTTGCTACAGGCAGGATCTTCCCCCAGCAGCTAGGCCTCATGGGAAGGGAATTGTCATGGCGCCTAGTGTGCTGAAACTCTCTCCGCACGATGGCAGTAGAGCTCCGCTCACGGGTACAAGCGCAGGTTTCCAGTGCTCTTCCCCCGCCCTTCCCATCTGAAAAAAATGCCACCCAATGACAGCGGCCAGAAAACATCGTGTCTTTGCATTTTGCTTAGCGCTTAAATTTGTTGTTGTTGTTGTTTTTTACATGAAATCAAACAACACACCGTATCAACAGCTCTTCGTCAGGAATCTTTTTGTCAGAAGTTAAATTGCCCAGGCGGCATGGTGCACTCTGTAATATGTCCACTTGGGAGGCTGAGGCAGGAAGAGCTTTGCGAGTTCCAGGTAGCCTGGGCTACATAGTGAATTCAAGACCAGCCTGGACTATGTAATGAGACCTTGTCAAAAAAATCCTATATATACCCATCAACAGATAATTGGATAAAGAATATGTGGTATCTACACATAATGGACTATTACTCTGCTATAAAGAATGACAGATTTGAGACATTCGTAGGAAAATGGATGCACCCAGAATATATAATGTTGAGTGAAATAAACCAGACACCCAAGCTTAAAATACCTTATGGTATCTCTTGTCTGAGTGAGGCAAAGTACAAATGAAGAGAATAATAAAGGATGGATTCAAGAGGAAAAGGGAATGGATCTCTTGCAATAGGGAAGTGGTTCAAGGGAAGAAGCACAAAGGTGAGGAGGGGAAGGGGAAGTAAGTGCAATAAAGATACGCCATGTCCAGGACCCTAATAACCCGAACTAATATAAACATTGTATTCCACAACATTATCTAAGATTAATAATAGTAACAAGAATGGAAAATGATAGGGGGCTGGAGGAAGAAGGAGCAAGGGGGAGGGAAGGGGAAGGGTATAAGAAAAAAAACAAGCTGTGATACGTGCATGTAACCACTCCCCAAGACAATTGTAAACTGCATGAACTACAAACATGTACTAATAAAATATTTTTTGTTTGTTTTTTTGTTACCGGGGATAAAATATTTTTTAACAGGAAAAAAAAGGTTTTTTTTTTCTTATTTATATCTTTATTGGTACATTTTAGGTGTAATAGGTCTTTTTTAAAGTTCCCATTCCTTTATACATCCAGTGTTCAAATATATTTTCTGCATTTATTACTGGAATGCTTTGTAAACTTGTTAAGTATTCTTTTAAAAGTTCCTAAATATTCTTTTGGATATTATTTTTTGACTCTCCCCTTCTTTTCAGCATCTCTTAAAAGTATATATCCTTCTTTGCAGTATTTCCATGTACATAGGCCATGCATAAAAAAGTGCAGACAGCCTGGCCTGGTAGCACAGGCCTATGCTCCCAGTTTGAAGCACGCTAGGTGTCTGAGGCAGGAGGATCTCAAGTATAAGCACAGCCTGGGCCACTTAGTAACATACTGAGACCCTGTCTCAAAATAAAAAATCATGTGAAAAAGAGCTGGGGATGTAGTTCAGTTGGGAGGATCTGGGTTCAATCTCTAATACCACCAAAGGAAAAAAATGCAGGTAGGCCATAGTTAATGCCACAAATAGAAAACAAGTAATTAAAAATTATGGCCATGTTATAAATACTCCATTTTCCTATGTTCAGTTACAAATACAGCTTACTTATTTCCAGGAGCTCAAAATCTTTTTGCATCAAAAATTATTTTGCACATATTCGTTCTAGATGGATTCTCAAATTATGAATGTAATATTAGCTTAAAGAAATGTCTTACAAGTCAGGCATGGTGGCACATGCTTGTAATCTTAGCATTCAAGAGGCTGAGGCAGGAAGATTTTGCCAGGAGTTCGAGATCAGCCTGTTCAGCATAGTGAATTCAGGCCAGCCTGAATTACATAGCAAGACCCTGTCTCAAAAACAGAACAAAACAAAAGTCTCGGAATATTTAAATCTATACAAGATTGAAGAAAACACTTCATATAAATCTTGTTTTTTCCCCAAGTAACCATACTTCACTCAACATTACCTCAATGTTCACATGACCAAGTCTTCCCATTTCTACTTTTCTTCATGTAGCATTCTACCTCTTCATATCAAATTGTCTCCTGAAATTGGAGGGCCAAATGTCAGCCAAGTGTGAGGGATCCATGCCTAGAAAGGAAAAGAAAATGTGTTTATGCCTAAGGGCTTGGAGAAGAACAAATCTGGGCTCTTGGGCACTTGGTCACCATCTTGTCACACTTCCCAAATTCCTGACCTAGGCCAAGAGGACATCTGAGAGAGCGTATTTTCTCAAGAGGATGGAAACCAAGTATACAGTGGAACTGCTAAATACCCTCTGAGACCAAACTAACAATTTCTAAGATTTTATGTATTTACTTATTTATTTATTTACTTACTTATTTAGAAAGAAGGTCTCACTAAGTTGCTAAGTTACCCAGACTGGGCTAGAACTTACAAACCTCTCACTTCAGCCTCCTCAAAAGAATACAAAATTTTGTATTGCAATGAGAACATCAAAAAAGAAAAAAGGGAACCTATAGAATGGCAGAAAATGTTTGTAAATCAGGTGTCTGGTTAGCGATTTGTATTGAGAACATAAAGAACACTTACTACTCAATATTGAAAAACACTTAATTAAAAAATACGAGCAAGTTTTGAACAGAAATTTGTCCGAAGACATCGATATGGCCAATAAGCACATTAAAAGATACTCAACAAGGGAGGGCTGGGCAAGGGTGAAAAATAAGAACCAAGATGCATTATGTAAAGGTACAATTCCCAATGCGAAATGTAATTGTGTTGTATACCTACAATGTACCAATAAAAGAATTTAATAAAAAAAAACACAAAAGATACTCAACATAATTACCCATTACAGAAATGTAAAAATAAATAAATAAAAATTTAAAACCACAATGAGATGCTACTTCATACCCACTATCCATACTTTAAATTTTTTATGTTTATTTGTATATATTTGCTGTACATATTGATTACACACATGGTAGGGAGTTGGTACATATACGTAACACATCTTCATTCTTTTTATTTCCCCTCTCCTCCCATCCCTCCATAGCTTAGTCCAGTTCTTTAGCAAAAAATTTATCTTATTTCCTATTATCTGTCTTTTACATTTGCCCCTCAAATTATTTATACAATGGGTTTCTCACGTAAGAAACACTGTGCAATATTTAAGATTGTGTGTCTGATTTATTTCACTTAATACTGTGACCTCAAGGTACATCTATTTTCTTACAAATGGCTCGAATTTATCCTTCTGTAAGGCAGAGTGGTACTTCATTGGGTATATCATTTTCTTTATCCATTCATCTATTGATGGACATATAGATTTCTTCCAAGATTTAACTATTATGAATTGTACTGCTATGAACATAGGTGTGTATATATTATGTTAATATGATGTCTTTAACTCTTTGGGGGAAGGTAACTACAAGAGGAAGAGCTGGGTTGAAGGGAATTTCTATTTTTGTTTTTTTGAGGAATCTTTATACTCATTTTCATAGTGGTTGTACTAGTTTACATTCCCACCAACAGTGTACAAGGGTTCCTTTTTCCCAAGCATCCTCACCAGCATTCATTATTTGACCTCTTGATGATAGCCATTCTTTCTGGAGTAAAGTGGAATCTCGGTATTATATTAATTTTCATTTCACCAGTGACCAGAGATGTTAAACATTTTTCATGTATTTATTGGCTATCTCTGCTTCTGAGAAGTGTCTATTCATTTCAGTTGCTTATTTTTTTATTGAGTCTTTTATTTCAGGAGGTCTCTTTTTTTGAGTTGTTTATATATTCTAGATATTAGTTCTCTATTTGAGAGTAGCTGCCAGTTTTTCTCATTGTGTAGTTTGTCTTTTCATTCTGTAGATTTTTTCCTTTGTTGTGTAGAAGCTTTTAAATTTGATATAATCCCCTTTGTTAATTCTTGATGCTACTTCTTTTGCAACTGAGGTTCTTTTCAGAAAGTCCTTACCTGTGCCTATGTTTTGAAGTTTTACCTATTTTACATTCCATCAGATTAAGTGTTTCTGTTAAATGATGAGAAAATGAGACACAGTTTAGAGTAAACTCTCATAGAAAGAGATGGTCACTTACCTGTAAGTGTTCTGCCATACTGATATGTGTGTGTGTGTGTTTTTTTTTTTTTTTTGGTACCGGGGATTGAACTTGGGACCTTGCGCTTGTGAGGCAGGCGCTAGAACCACTGAGCTAAATCCCGGGCCCACTTATTCAGACTACTTAGGGGAGGTAGCACTCACACCCTTAATCCTAGTGCCCTTGAGCCTAGCATTGAACGGAATCAATCCCAGAGTCATACACTCTAGATCCAGCCACCTCTGAAAAAGCCTCATCTAAGACTTAAGAGGCTTTGGGGGGACATCTAGACACAAGCCATAACAGCCCGTGACAAAGAAGGCTATGTACTTAGTCCTTCCTCTTATGATTCATGAAAAATTGTCTACAATTCATAAGGTCACAAAATGAGGTACTCTACTCATCTCAGAGGTTACCCAGGTCACAAGCTGTTTGGATTTGAGAACTAATGTTAGAGAAGAGCTCTAGGCTTGAAGCCATTTCCTCTTTTCTCTCTCATCATCCGAAAATTTATCCAGTAAAAGAGACAACTAGATGCCAAGGAACCCACTGTGCAACTAACGCCACATAAATAAAATGACACCAGAATGGACCAGGTACAATCACAATTAATGTCTGAAAGGATGAGAGTTTTGAGGAAGGAATGTGGAAAACAAAAGAAAAATCAAGTCTTTGTGAGCTCCTCCTGCCAAACAGGGCAAAATGCAAGACACCCTTATTTTCTGGCACCTGTCTCTGGTGTCCTTTTTTTCAGATAAGAAAGGCGGGAGCAAAGCACTATACGATGATGCTTGCGCTTATACATGGAGCGCCACTGCCATCGTGCGGAAATAGTTTCAACACACCCAGCACCATGACAGCTCTCTTCCCATGAGGCCTAGTAGGTGGGCTGAGATCCTGCTCGTAGCGAAATGAAAGAGCCTAGCATTCCTGGATGGGCCTCCTTGCCTCCACTAAGGCACTAACAGAGACTGATCTAGACACTGATGCCACCTCAGTGTAGAACCCGGGGATCTTCGTACCTGGAGTGGACCAGCAGCGGCCAGGAGCCGCCATAACAGGAAGTTGTGGGGCGGGGCCTCGTTTCCTCCCAGTATGGACAAGACCGGAGGGACCAACTCAGACAAAAGCAGGCTGTGAGGGGCACCTACGTCCTATTCCTGTCCTTTGTAGCAAAAGTTATTTTGCCTTTATGTGATGTCACTATACTATCAGTATTCTAGTCCCTCGTTAGAGCAGTGTGAGAGCAGAAAGGACTAGGTGGCACTTGCACAGTGAGTCTTGGTTCATCACTCTCCATGTTTTACACCAACTCTGCATGTATGATTTATTCCTGGCCGCCTATAGACAAAAAGGGGTGTAGGGTCTTCTGATCTCCCAGATACTGTTTTGGTCAACTTCTAGGACTTTCAAAGAGGAATACTTTAGCTCATGTTTTAGGGCTTTCTGGAAACATTTCCCTACATGGCAGTACAGCATTGTCACAGAAGACCCAACTAGTGTGCCTCCAACTGCAGTTTCTGCCCATACAATTTGAAAACTAATGACAGAAGAGACAATATACCAGGAAACATGGCTTGATTTGATGAAGCCCACACCACTCCTTGAATCTTTTCTGTTTCTATTTGATACGAAACTTAGATCTAATATGCACATCGCTTGTTCCATGGGTGAGAGGCATCTAAGCTACTCACATTTGGCAGATTCTGAAGAACTGAATTTCCAAGTGACTGAGTCCTCCCATTTCTGCTTTTCTTCAATCTCCAGTGTTCCCTCTTGAAATCGAAGTGTCTTGTGGTACTGGGGACCAATCTTTAGGAATCCATGCTTAAGAAGGAAAAGAAAATGCTAATAGTAAGGGCTTGGAGCAGAACAAATCTAGGCTCCAGGTTGCTTGGGTCTCATCCTGACACTCTTCCCAGATTCCCTGAGAGCGCTACCCTATATTATGACCTAGGCACTAGTCCTGTGTCCCTAGAGGAGGTTGACTTTAAGGGGAGCTTTTAAAGGAGGGTCCAGATAGCTCTCAAGACTGAAGGCTACACAATGTCTTACTTGGTGTGACACAAATAACTGAAAGACTATAAATTCTAGTCAGAGAGGTCATACTTGATGCCATGGTTTCATCCTTTAACATTGGAGTGCAAATATTTTCCCACATTAGTTTCCCACATTAATGTTTTCACTTAGGGAACAAATGATGATGTATTTTCTCATTAACTCAAACATGGAGCTTTGAAAGGACTCATAAAATAACCACGTGTTCATCAAGAAACAAGCACGGCCATAAAACTTTGTATTATGCACTAACTTTTTGCATATCTTTTCCCATTCTTTCAATACATAGAGCCAAAGTTCTAAGTAGACAGTGAAACACCACAATACATTTGCATTTAAATTATATTTAGTTTACTCATTGGGTTTTAGAATGGACATTTTCACGTCTGATTCCCAGAAAGTTTTTGATAGTAAAATAAAATGCAGAACCTGGATATTAGAAAATAAACATTTGGTTTGCAAAGATCTTCTTGATTGACATATTTACTACAAAAATATTAAGTTGTCATTTAACATTTTTATCCATAAAAACCATTTATATAAATAAAATTAATTTATATACCTAAACCATATATATAATTATATAATTACGTATACATTTACACTAGAAAAATTAGGCATTTTAAATTCTTCTCAAGTTTTCATCCTACAGCCCTGCTGAGTGCAAATGCTTATAATCTCAACACTCTCCAGGCTGGACACAAGTTCAAGCCCAGCATGGGCATCTCAGCAACTTAGGGAGAAACTGTCTTTTAAAAAAAACAATTTAAAGGGCTAAGGATATCGGTTAGTGGAAAGACGCTGGGTTCTATCCCCAATATCGGAAAAATATTTTATTTCAAATTCTAGTCTTAAAATTTTTTTTCAAGTTGGCCATGGTGGTGCATGCCTGTGATCCCAGCATTCGGGAGGCTGAGGCAGAGGATCGCGGTGAGTTTGAGACCAGTCTGGGCTACACAGTGAGTTTGAGGCAAGCCTGAACTACATGGCAAGACTCTGCCTAAAAAAAAAAATTTTTTCTTAAGTTTTGAGACTCTTTTTATACTCCAGACTGCCCTTAACTTACTACATATCTCCAACTGGCCTTGAATTTAGTGTGCTCCCCCATCAGAGCTTCAGGAGTGATTTTAAATTTTTTTCTTTAGAGGCCACAAAGAAAGAAAGCAAATTTGAGAAAGAACTGTTTAAAATTGGCACCTCTCATATTCAGGCACCCTGAGGTCTTCCCTGAGAGAATTTAAACATGGATACACCATTCACATGTAGCTCTAGTCTTTCATTAATATCTGTTTATATACATCTAAATTCAAAAAATGCAAGCACATTCTCAGTCTAACACTGACCATGATCACAAATGTAGAGGTTTTAGAAGTTGTGTATGCCTCCAAACAGATGTACCTGTGCAGCCCTCACGTGGTCATTTCTCTTTAGCTATCATCACATGCATTTGCCACTTAACACAGGCCTTACCCCACCACTGGCATATATCCATACCAATATATATTTTCTATTGGTTGATATTTTCTATTTCATTCTACACCTTTAAGAAATGATAAAATAGAAAGCACTTGGTAGGCCAATCCCAGTGTGCAGAAATTAAGTACTTTTTAAATGTCTGTGAGTCAGGTGGCGGGACGAGGGGGTGGGTGGCAGAGGGGAGGATAGGGGAGGTTCAGGAAGCTGGCAGAGGCCTCTAATCCCCGAACTCTTGGAGCCTGAGTCAGGAAGATGGAAAGTTCGAGCCGAGGCTCAGCAACTCAGTGACTTATGAAGATCCTGTCTCAATCAAAAAATAAATTAAAAGGGCTTGGGAAGTGTAGCTCATGGCAAAGGCCCTGAGTTCAATCTTCAGTAGTAAAAAATAAGTCTGTGCCATGCTATTATATATGCATATATAATAGGTAGTTTCATAAAGAGATGTTTAAACTTTCCCATGGCATAATTGTTCATGCTTAAGTGTTCCTCACTTACAACTTGAATACATTTCAAATATAATTAAATTTCTTGGGACTATTGATATGTTTAAAAAATATTGTCACTTTTTAAAATAGAGGTAAAATTCATGCAAATAAAATTACTCATTTTAACTTGTGCTATTTAGTGGCATTAAAAACACTCACAACACTGTGCCAGAATTTACTTCTATCACATAATTTTAATTCCCACAAAAGGACGCTCTGGACGTTGAGATTTTTCATTCCCTTTCCCCTGACCCTGCCCAGTTGCCAACAACCACTTTTTGCTTTCTCCAGTCTATGGGGTTACCTATATTAGGGAGTTCATACAAAAAGAATCATCACAAAACTTGGCCTTTTGTGCTTGTTTATTTTATGTAGTATGTATGTAGTATGTAGCTACATCAGTAGTTCATTTCTTTTCATGACTGAATAATATGCCTTTTATATACATACCACATGGCATTTATTTACTCATCAAAGATATTTCCCTTCTGTCCACCTTTTGGGTATTCTTACTAGCGCTACTTTGAACAAGTATATAAAAGTACTGGTTTCAGTATCTGTTTTCAATTCTTTTGGTTATATGAGTGGAATTGCCAGATCATATGTTTCTATGTTTAAATTTTATGAGCATTCACACAGTTTTCCATAACAGCTGCACCATTTTGCATTCCTACCAGCACTATAGGAAAGTTCTATTTTTTCTACCTGCTTGACAATACTTGATTTTCCCATTTTTTTCGTACTGTATGTGAAGTGGTATCATGAGGTGGTTTTGATTTGTATTTGTGTATACTAATATTAAAGTGTCTTTGCATGTGATTGTTGGCCATTCATATAACTTTCTGGGAGTAACATCTATTCAAGTCCATTGTTTATCTTAAAAATTGTGTTCTCTTTTTTCCTGTTGAGTGATGTTTGTTTGTTTGTTTTTTAGGTATTTTGGATATTAGATGTTGTTTAGATAATTTCTTTGGAAATATATTCTTCTATTAGGCTGCATGCCTCTTTATGCACTGATAGTGTCCACTGTTGTAAAACACTTTCAAGGACCGGGGTTTTAGCTCAGGGGTTCTGCCGCCTGCCTCACAAGTGCAAGGTCCCGAGTTCGATACCTGGTACAAAAACCAAAAAACACTCAAATTCTGATGAAGTCCAATTCATTTTTTCCATTGATTGTGCTTTTGGTAGCATATCCAAGAAACGACTGCCAAGTCCGAGATCTACCCTTTTCATTTTAACTTTTATACTTAGATCTTTGATACATTTTGAGTTCATTTTTGCACATAGCTTGAGGCAGGGGTCTCATTGCATTGTTTTGTATTTGAGTAACCAATTACTATTCATTCCTCCATTGAATGTCCTTGGTGAAAATCAACTGACCATAGTGTATGGGTTTATTTCTGTGCTCTCAAGATATTCCACTGATCTCTGTCCCTATTCTTGAGTAGAGCACTGTTGTGATTACTGTAGATTTGGTAGTAAGTTTTGAAATCCAGAAGTGTGAGACCTCCCTCAACTTTGTGTTCATTACTCAACAATTGTTTTGAGCCTGGCATAAATAGCATACCCATATAATTCCTGAACTGAGGAAACTAAGGCAGGAGGATCCAGTGTTTGAGATCAGCCTGGACTACACAGCGAGCCTTTGTCTCAAACAAAAAATGTTTCAGCTATTCACATCTCTTGCAATTGCATAGGACATTTAGGATCTTCTCTAATTCTGCAAAAATCATTATTGGGACAATGAAAGGAATTGCATTGAATCTGTACATCATTTTGAGTAGTATTGCCACCTTAATCATACTCGGTCTTCCAACTCATGAACACAGGGTGTCTTTTAATTGAATTAAGTTGTCAATTCCTTCAGGAATATTTGATAATTTTCAAATACAAACTTTTTTATCTCCTTAGCAGAATATTGTCCTAAAAATATTAATACTTTTCATGCTGTTGTAAATGGAATTGGTTTCTTAATTTCATTTCCAGATTGTTCAATGCTAGTGTATGCATATACAAATCAGAATGATTTGTGTTTCTTTGTTTTTGAGATGGTCTCCTTCTGTACTTCAGGTTAGCCTTGAATTCAGCTTCATGGGTGCTGAGATTACAGGCAGCTCTATGTCTTATTTTTATGAATTCATTTTCTCTCCCTCTCCTGCACTGTTTGTTGCATCCATTTATTAGCTCTAATAGAGCTTTTGGCAATTTTTAAGGATTTTTTTTTGGTATGAGATCATGGAATTAGCAATCAGAGACCATTTTCCTTCTTCCTTCCAATTTTGATGCCTTCTCTGTATATTTCTTGCCTAATTACTTGACTAGAACTTCCAGTACAAAGTTTACTACAAGTGACCAGTGTAGGCATTTTTCCCTTCTTCATGATCTTTGGGCAAAGCTGTCAGTCTTCCACCCTTCACTATCCAACCAGCTTTTTCATAAATATCCCTTGCCTTAATGAGAAAACACCCTTCTAATCATAGTTCATTGACTTTGACTGCTTTTCTGGAAGGATGAAGTACTGAAGTCTCTTATTCTGCCATTTTCACCCGCATCACTTTTGCAACCTGCTTTGCATTTCTAGAAGCAAACATGCTTCTTTACAATGCACCTGCTATGTCAGCCATGCAGGAAGACCTGACATGAGTTCGCAGGTAATGCCAAGTCCAACAGACAAAGAGTCTTTCAGCTGTAGGTTGATCTCCAGTCTTTTTAATTGCTCTTGGTCCTAGCATTTTTATGCACAGTTGTTACAGCAAAAAATACAACTCTTCTCTGACCTTCTCTTCAGGCCTTTAGGCTTCTAGAGAC